TAGGTTGCAAAGCATTACAGAAATGTGAATTATACCCTAGGGTTCCTTAGAGCTCTGACCTTTTATTATTCTGACTCCAGATGTGACCTTGGACCAGTCCCTTCCCCTCTCAGGGCTTCAGTCTTCTAGTCTGTAAAATGCAAAATTCAGTCTTCTCCCCTCCCCCAAGCCCCTAACTACACCCTTAAGAGAGAAGTGAATGGATTTTGACCAAAGGAGGAATTCCTTTGTTAAGTGTGAGAATAAATCTGGGATTTGGAGTCAGAGGACAGTCAGTGGTTCAAACCCAGCTTTGCCCCTTCCTACTTGAGAGACCTTGGGCAAGTCACTTAAATTGAGCCTCAGTTTCTTCTTCTGGAAAATGAGGGCATCCAGCTAGATAGATGGGCTCTGTTCTTTTCAGCTCACTCTCCTAGGACACCAGTATCCAAAATATCCATGTGTCACGCGCCACCTGGTGGCCATTTCTGAGAATGCAACAAAATGAAAACTCCAGTTTCTTACTCCTCGATGCTTTCCAAGCAAGCCCACCCGCACAAATCTCTATGCTTTTGGTCTCCAACTTACTTATCTGACCCTAAGCTCTCTACTGACTTCCAATCTTGAGTCCCCAACTACCTTTCAGACATCTTAAACTCAACATGTCCAAAACTGAGCTCATCATCTTTCCCCCAAACCCTCTTCCCAATTCTTCCTCATTTCCCTATTTTTATAGAGGGCAACACCCTCCCCCTAGTCACCCAGGCTCCTCATCCTCACCTCCTCACCCTTACCCCCTCCACCATGTTGAATCAATGGCCAAGACCTGTCATTCATACCTTCATGATACCGCTCCTGTATACCCCATTCTTTCCTGTGACCCTGGGGCAGGGCCTCATCCCCTCACATCTGAGACACAGCCCTGACTGGCCTGCTGCCATGAGTCTTCTCCATCTCAGTCCAGGGAGGGGGGAGGCCATCTCCGGTTATTCTAATCTATATCTCACCACTGGACCCAGATAGCTCCAGAGGAGAGAGCGAGGCTGGTGACTTTGCCCAGTCCTCCCTCACTTAAGTCCAATTCACTTGCAAGTCAAGGCATTATCTTCCTGAGGTCATGGTCCTCTTCAAGAACGAAGGACAAACAACCTGTGACTAGTCTGAGCCGTTCCACTGGGGACCCAACTGACCAGTTCCAGTTGGGCAACTCAGTTCCCTTCCCTTCCCCTCCCCTTGCCTTCTTCCTCTCCCTCTGCCCACATAGGGTATCATCCCCTTACCTGGGGGTGTTCTGACCAAAGGAATGTAAAGTTTGACGGCTGAAAGCTAGTGAGATATCTAGGGGTTTAGAGGCTAGACTTCTTACTTGAAGACCATGCCTTAAGCCCAATTCACTCAGGCTTTCATTGATTGGCCAAGAGAATGCCCCAGCCCAAGCCCCACTTTGTGGTCATACTTTGGGCCTGGTCGGCTCAGTGTGAACGTAAATAGTAATTGTTTCCGTTTTAGCCAGAAACCCTGAGGGTCGTCCCCTCCCAGATTGATTTTTTTAAAAAACTTGGTAAAAGGGGCCATTCCTTGGCTCATTTCTTACCCTAGTCCTAATCACTGAATGGGTGGTACCTCAGTCAAAGTGAGAACTGGGAAAGACCTTAGCTCAAAAAAGCCAAGGTCTCCCACTGCACCCTGGGCCCTCTCCAGTCATTCTGATCTGTTATCTCACCACAGGACCCAGATGGCTCTGGAAGAGAAAGTGAGGCTGGTGACTTTGCACAGCCCTCCCTCATTTAAATCCAATTCACTCACAAGTCCTGGCATCACCTTCATGATGTCATGGTCCTCTTCGAGAACGAAGGGCAAACGGCCCCCACCATCTCAAGGCCATTCAGCCACCCAGGTAGTCTTCCTGAAGCTCATCTGACCAGGACGAAAACATAAAATCCTCTTTGGCTTTTAAAGTCTTTATACAATAACTTTTTTTTTTGCTTTTTGGTGAGGCCATCAGGGTTAAGTGACTTGCCCAGGGCCTCATAGCTAGCAAGTGTCTTGTGTCTGAGGTCACATTTGAACTCAGGTCCTCCTGACTCCAAGGCCAGAGCTCTATCCACTGCACCACCTGGCTACCCCTAAACTCCTTTATAATCTGGTCCCTTCTTACCTTTCCAGTCTTCTCACACATTACTTATGCCCTCATACCCTGTGGTGCTGTAACATCAGCTTCCTTGCCGTTTCTTGAACATCCTGGCTCTGGGCATTTTCCCCGGCTGTCCCACATGCCTGGAATGCTCTCCCTCCTTCTGACTCCAAGTCTCTGCTAAGGGCTCACCTTGAAGAGGAAGCCTTTCTTAGCCCCTCTGTATTTGAGGGCCTACTCTCCATTGATCATTGCCTATTTATCCTGACTATAGCTTCTTTGTACATGGCTGTTTGCACATTGCTTCCGCTAGACTGTGGACACCCTGAGGGCAGGGACTGTCTCTGGCCTTTCTTGGTGTCCCCATCACTTAGCACACAGTAGGCCCTTAATAAATGTTAGTGACCGACGTGTGCACATAGACACAGACACTGGCCCATCAGATCTGGAAAGGACACGTGAAACCATCTAACACACACAATTCCTTTTATAGACGAGGAAAGTTTGAGTGTCAGAAAAGGCAGGTGAACTCCCCTCAAGGTCACAGAGCAAGTCGAGGGTAAGGTAGGGCCTAGGACCCGAGCTTTCTGACTGAGAGCCAAGGAACTTCTCATCCCATGTCCTGCTCTCTGAGACCCTGAAGACCCTTTGTTTGGGGGACAAATGATCAGAATAGTCAGGCGCTGACAAAAAAACACCAGGACTGGGCCAGGGGATTAGAGTTCACATTGCCAGTTCTAAGGGCCCTCCCAGCCCTGCCATTCTCTGGCTTTTTTTGTTTTTTAATTTATTTTTAGTTTTCAACATTCATTTCCACAAGATTGAGTTCCAGATTTTCTCCCCCTCTCATCTCTCCCCCCACTCCAAGACGGTGTGCATTATGAATACCCGTCCCCCTAATCTCTCCCTTCTATCACCCCCCGCCCTTATCCCTTCCCCTTTTATTTTCCTGTAGGGCAGGATAGATTTCTATACCCCACTGCCTATATATCTTATTTCCCAGTTGCACATAAAAACAATTAACATTTGTTTTTAAAGCTTTGTGTTCCATTCTATGTTCTAAGAGCCCTCCCAGCCCTGACATTCCCAGTCCTAAGGACCCTCCCAGCCCTGACATTCCCAGTTCTAAGGACCCTCTCATCTGATATTTTTACGTGTTCAGGTTCTTTCCGTGGCCAACAGCCGATGTTTTAATGTCCCCTCTCCATAGCCCACCCCCACACCCAAAGAAACAGAAACATCTTTCACTTCTAGCTTGGCCTCTCCCAGGCCTTCTCTTTATTGACATCAGTTGGACTCTTCTACCACCTGCCAAGGTTCCCCAACCACATTCCCAAGTGCCCACTGAGGCCCAGGTGCCAACATTCCCTCCCCTTCCACACACACAGGCTAGCTGGATGCTGGAGACGGGGTTGGGACAAGGGGGTGTAAAAAAAAATCAAACCACCTTCCTTTAAGTCACTTTGAAGATTAACAGATGTGGAGAGGTTTCTGTGCCTTCCCTAGCTGGATGGTGGAGACTCATCTGAACTTCCCTGCATGTACGGACAGGACCAGACCTGCGATTTCACTAAGGTGCAGGGAGCGACTTGCTGGGGTCACAGACTGGTAGGAGCTGGCTTTGAGGCCCACCCTCCACCAAGATTAAGTGAAGCTGTGCCCAGACTACACACTGGGTGGGTGGCAGGAGCAAGCTGCATTTTCAGCCCTGGCCTGACAATCAGCATCTCTAGCTCAACATTCATAGGATGTGGGAGGTCAGCAGTACATGCATTTATGTACAGAACCCATTTTCCAGATGCAGAAATTGAAGCCTAGAGCAGACCACTGGCTTTTTGGAGGACGCACAGAACCAGATTTTCATCTTGGGCCTTCTGAAGCCCACGTCCAGTGGTTTCCAGCTACCCACGCTTGCCATCCTGAGCCCACAAGAATCCTCCTGACTCGCCATTACCAGCCACCCAAACAACCTGCATGTCATACAACTGGTGCCATTTCCCTGTGTAGGGGACAGAACTCACCCAAGGTTACAAAGCCTGTCACAGACACACAAAAACCTCGAGCAGCCTCCTTCCTCTCTTCTGGTCCTGCTTCCTCACAGGCAACAAGAAGGCCGCAGGAAGCTGCCTCAAAGGTCCCCCCAACTCCAGCACTGCTACGGCCATTGAGTCCCACCCCCTTCCTTTACAGATGGGGAAACTGAGACTTGGGAGGCGAAGGGTTAGGATCTAGGACTCCATACTGCCTCCTCCTACAGGACAGTGGAGAGAAAGCCCTGCTCTGGTGCAATTCTACAAACGACTCTACCCAAGGCAGTGTAGACCAGTGGAAAAGGCCCATCACCTTGAGCCAAACCCTTCTGCCTCTCTGGGCCTCAGTTTCCCGACCTGTAAAATGCGGGAGCTAGACCAGGTGGTGTCCAAAGTCCCAGCAGCTTTGAAGCCCTGCTCACGTGCAGAGATGGCCCTGAACATAACCAGCCCTTCCTAGAACCCTGCTACCAGGTAGAAGGCGTGGTAAGGGAGGGGTTACGGGCAGGGGGGAGGGGGGGCGGTGTTCCTGTCTTTAGTGCACTGTAGGCCCAGCCAGGGTTTGGTCTGGGGGGATGTGTCTATAAAGGCCTTGGGGGCTCGAGCTAGGGGCACTATGGGCCTAAGAAAAAAGGTCTATGTGAACTACTCCTGCATATACACTCTTCTGTCACTGGCAGAGATATCCCAGGTTTGTTGGGAGGAGGGGAGAACAGAGAAAGACCCCTCCTCCTCCCCCTCCCACCCCAGGCTAGCTGGTTCCAGCATCACGGGCCCCACAAGCCCACCCACAGCAGGGAGGGGGTTCTCCCTCGGACATCCTAGTTGGCCCAGAAAGGAGTCAGAGAAGGATGGTATCTGGAGGGGCAGGGTGGGGGGGGCGGGGCAGCAGCAATGCCCCCTCCCCGGGTGTCCAAGGGCAGCAACCAGCAGTGCCCTGGGCAGAGTCCAGAGTCAGCGGGGTGGCAGGGCCTGCGTTGCCCCGGGGGGACGGCCACCCCACAGCAGCAGGCGACGGCGGCCGGCCTCATATAATCCCCCTCGTCCACACTGACCAGCAGGCGAATCGGCTCCCGGCCCACAGCTTCTCGAAGGGCCTCGGTCAGGAAGACACCACGCAGGGCCTGGAGCAGGGCCCCACTGAGGTAGTCCCCCCAAAAAGCATCCAGGTAAGACAGCTCAGAGAATTTGATGTCACACACCACGGAACCCAGGTCCCTGGACTTCAGCACTGCCATGGCCTGCCCAAACAGGTCCAGCTGGCGGGCCACAGACTGGGGCCGCCGGGAGACCACACCCTGAGCCAGGGCTGCCCCGTGCTCGCAGTACTCGGCCCGCACTCGGAGGCGGATGTCTGCAGGGAAGAGAGGGAGGGTCTTGGTGAGGCCTGGGACAAGGCACCCGGCCACCCGCTGCCCAGGTACCTCCTCTTCTGCCTCAGCCTTGGCCGCTCAATCCCCTGCTTCCACCTTCCTTCCCGGGGCACCTGATTTTCCCCCTCCTCCAGCGTGGACCTGCTCTCCAGGGTCTCCCTGCGATTCCGCGCCCCCTCCTGGCTCTCAATGTCCCGCCCTCTGATCCCACCAAGGCCTCCGGTCTCTGTCTCTCTCTGTCTCTCTCTCTCTGTCTCTCTCTCTATTCTCCCACCTTCCCCAACCTCCCACTCTCCTTCTTTCATAATCTGGACCCAACAGTTAATCAATTCAGCCTCTGCATTCTGTCTTCCCTGCTCCATCCATCTTGAACCTTGGGTCCCCACCCACCCACCCACCCTCTGCACTCCTACCCCCAGGGTGGCCAGGTCCACCTCAAAATCATGCTGCCTCATCTCAACGTGGTCTCCCACAGAAATCCTTTTCTTCCCTCGGATTGAGTCTCTATCACGTTTTCTCTAGCAGCTCTCCCCTCTGGAGCCCACACCTCCATCCCTCTCAGCATATGGCCTATCCCCTTCTCTACCAGGAACTGCTGGGAGAGCCTCTGTCTCCCTCACCTCCTCTTCGCCCCTTTTCCCTGTTCTCTCCTGCCTTGCTCCAGGCTCCAGGGGATGGTCCTTCCCCTGCCTACACCTCTCCTTACCTCCCCATGGAATCAATCATCATGGAGACTCTCTGGGCCTTGGGTCTCACCCCATTCTTTATGAGCATGGCCCCACTAGCATGTCTCTTCAGTCTCTCCCAATTTCCTAGCTTCCTTCCTGCTACCTACAAACTCAGGTTTCCTCCGTTAAAATTAAACAAGCAAACCAACCCTCCCCTCCCCCCCTCGGTGAACTGGTTCAAGTCTACACTGTCTCCCCACTCCCCACCCCCTTCTCCCATCTAAGATCTTGCCCAACCAAGCCTCCACCTCGGATCACTCCCACCATTGGCTGCCTTCACTTCTACACACATACTGAACAAAGATGGAGGAAACGAGGCGACCACCCTGCCTGGTCCACTACTGATTTCTGTTACACAATCTCACCCGGCCCTCGCGGCTGCCGTGATCCTGTCACACTCCCCAGTCAACAGTCTCCCACTCTCCCAGTCTTTTCATTTCCTCCTCAAACTTCCCACGGCTCCTCCTCTCCCACTCTCCCAGCCAAGAACTTTGTCTCATGTTTTACAGAAGAAATGCAGGCCACTCACCACGCGCTCCCTTTTCTCCCTTCTTCCACATCTTCTATCACTCAGGTACCTTCTGTCACCCGTCTCAAATGATGAGGCGACCTTGCTCCTTTCCAAGGCCAACCCTCTACTTGTCCAAGTGACCCACTCCATCCTGTCTCCTCTGTCACCCTGCTCTCTCCCTTGTCCTCAACCTTTCCCTCTCTGCTGACTCCCACATCCTCAAAACCCCCTCCCAACTCAGCCTCCTCCCACGGCTCTTCTGCCCTTTCTGGCTAAAGTCCTTGCCAACACCATCTTCAGAGGAGCCTCCGCTCACTTCCCTCTCTCTTGTTCCCCGACACACTTCTCTCCAGCTACAGTGATCTGACCTGCCCAAACCAGTGAGCTCTTCTACACCTTTGTGTAGCCTCCAACGCTGTCGTTCACGCTCTTCTCTTTAGGTTTTCGGGGTACCCCTCTTTCTTTCTCTCCCGCTTCTCCTCCTGCCTCTCTTGATGGCTCCCTCTCTGTCTCCTTTGCCGGATCCTCCTCTGGATCACACCCTCTAAGTGGCCCCTGGCGCTCTGTCCCCTCTTCTCCTCTCCCTCTATAACCTCCTTAGCTCCCCAGGGAATCAATCGTCATTTCCATACTGATGATTCTCTAGTACTGACCTCTCCAGGAGTGCCAATATCTATCTCCCACTGTCAATTACACATATGGAGCTCCTGGATGTCCTAGAGACATCTGAAACTCATTATGCCCAGAACTAACCTCATTATCTTTCTACCTGCCAAGGGCAGGCAACCTGAGGCCTCAAGGCCACATGTGGCCCCCTAGGTCCTCAAGTGCAGCCCTCTGCCTGACTCCAAATGTCAGAGTGGATTCAGAGGGCTGCACTTGAGGTTCTAGAGGACCACATGTGACCTCGAGGCCTCAGGTGTCCCTCCCCCCCTCTTACCCATTGCTATAGATGGCAACACCCTCCTCCTAGCCCTCCAAGCTACACCTAGCAGTTGCCCTGGACTCCCACCATATCTCACCCCCCTGCCCAAGTTCAATATGGTGTCAAGGCCTGTCAGTTTCCCCTCCATAACATCTTGAATGGGCCCCTTCTCTCCTCTGACGCTGGCCCCCCACCTTGGTGCTGACCCTCATCACTTCACACCTGCACTACCACAACAGCTTGCTTGGGGGGAGGGGGAGCCTGCCTGCCTCTGGTCTCTCCCACTCCAATCCAGCCCTCCATTCTGCCAATAAAGTGATCTTCCTAAAGCACAGGTTCAACCATGGCACTTCTCCCCCCAAAACAAACTGCAGGGGCTCGCCATTGCTCCAGGAGCCAACACAAAATGCCAGCTGGCATTCAGAGCCCTTCAAAACCTGCCTCCCCCTACTTCTCCCATGTTCTCATTCCAGACATCCTCCTGGACAGGGATCCACCCAGGGGCATTTTCTCCGGCTGTCCTCTGTGTCCAGAATGCCTTCTCTCCTGCCTTCTGGCTTCCTTCAGACCTCAGCTAGAATCTCACATCTCTAGGAGGTCTCTCCCAACCTGCCCCCCCCCAAGTTCGGGTGCCTTTGCACAGCTGGCAACTTCCAGTTTATCCTGACTATAGCTTCTTTGTACATGGCTGTTTGCACATTGCTTCCGCTAGACTGTGGACACCCTGAGGGCAGGGACTGTCTCTGGCCTTTCTTGGTGTCCCCATCACTTAGCACACAGTAGGCCCTTAATAAATGTTAGTGACCGACATGTGCACATAGACACAGACACTGGCCCATCAGATCTGGAAAGGACACGTGAAACCATCTAACACACACAATTCCTTTTATAGACGAGGAAAGTTTGAGTGTCAGAAAAGGCAGGTGAACTCCCCTCAAGGTCACAGAGCAAGTCGAGGGTAAGGTAGGGCCTAGGACCTGAGCTTTCTGACTGAGAGCCAAGGAACTTCTCATCCCATGTCCTGCTCTCTGAGACCCTGAAGACCCTTTGTTTGGGGGACAAATGATCAGAATAGTCAGGCGCTGACAAAAAAACACCAGGACTGGGCCAGGGAATTAGAATGTTCAAGTTCTAAGACACTGTTCTAAGGGCCCTCCCAGCTCTGACATTCCCTGTTCTAAGGGCCTTCCTAGCCCTAACATTCCCAGTTCTCAGGCCCCTCCCAGCTCCGACATTCCCTGTTCTAAGCACCCTCCTTCCAGCCCTGACATTCCCAGTTCTAAGCACCCTCCTCCCAGCCCTGACATTCCCCGCTCTAAGGGCCCTCCCAGCCTTGACATTCCCTGTTCAAGGGCGTTCCTAGCCCTGACATTCCCAATTCTAGGGCACCTCCCAGTTCTGACATTCCCTATCCCAAGGCCCTCCCTGTGACTGTGTGATAGAAGGGGCCATCCCCTTCCTTCCCAGATTTCTCCCGTGGCACAGTGTCTTCCCAAGCTCCCATAATTACAGCATCTTGGAGCTCAGAGTGACCTCAATGCCCATCTATCTCACTGCCCCCACAGTTCTGCCTACAGCACAGCCAATGGGGCCTCCCCAGGTTAAGCTGGGAAGTCTCCAGGGCCAGGGAGCTCACTCCCTCCCATTCCACTTCTGAACTTAAGAAGTCGGTTATTTTTTTTTTTCCCCACATCTAGATGGGTCACTCTATGACTTCCCCCACTGCCTCTGCCTCATGGGGCCAAACAGAAAAGTGTAGGCCCCTTCCACAGGACAGCCCCTCAGGTGCTTGCAGACAGCTCTCATGCCCCCCACCCCAGCTCCTTCAGACAGGAAGGGACCTATGGCCTAGACTTGAGTCCCCAGGGCCCCTGACTACCCTCCTCCAGGCTCCATCAATGACCTTCCTAAACTGCCCCAACACCAGGCCCAAGCTCTCAAAGAAGCCCTGGGAAGGAGTGAGCTCCCTGCTCAGCCTGGCTGGCCTCCACCCACCGCCCTCACCGCAGGTCACTTTGTTTGCAGCAGGAGACGACACAGGATTTTTCGACCTCGAAGCTCCGTGGGGTCCCCGCCGCCGTCTCCCTCCGGCACTGGATCGGCCCAGACTTCTCCTCTGCCTCTTCCCAGGAGGTGAACCTGCTGGACAAAGGGCTTCAGCTAAAATGTAAGTCCTACCCCAAACAGGTGCTGCCTGCTGAAATCACTCTGGGCAAAGCACTCAGCCTCCTTCCTTCTGAGGCGGCCTCTCAGGCCCTTCCGTCTGTACCTGGACGATCCTGGGGAGGGAAGAGTGGCAATATTCTCATGGATGCCCTAAGGGAAATCTGGAGAAATAGAGATTAGCATTGCTAGTGCATAAACTGAGGCAAGATAGGGTGAGAAGGAAAGTGAGGGACTGGAGGAGCGTCAGGAGTAATACGTGAAGAACCGACGTCTAGGAGAGTTTGAGGGGGGAGAACAGAGCCTTGAAATGAGTCGGGGGTGGGGGAAAAGGGGAGGAGCATCCTTTGTGTTTCGTTGTTTTTCAGTCCTGCCCAACCCTCCATCACCCCATCTGGGGTTTTCTTGGCACAGACACTGGAGCAGTTCGCCACTTCCTTCTCCAGTTCATTCGACAGATGAGGAAACTGAGGCAAACAGGGTGAAGTGACTTGTCCAGAGCCACAGCTGGTAAGTGCCCGAGGCCGGATTTGAAGCCAGGTCTTCCTGATTCCAGGCCTGATGCTTTACCCACTGTGCTGCCTCCTCTGAACCCCGTGTCCTGACTCTAAATCCAAGATGCTGTTTATTGCTGCTAGCAGGAGCTGGGAACCATGCTGCCCACCACCTCAACCGCAGAGGAATAAAGCTGTCATAGCAATGTGTTACAGCTGCGATTTGAACTTATCCTCCGGCCTCTGAGCCCAGAAATATTCCTGGAGTCACTGAACTACACCTAGGCACACATTTAGGGGTTGTGTCCAACCCCCTCCTTTTACAGAGCAGAAATTGAGGCCCAGAGATGGTCTTACCCAGGGTCACAGAGGTCATAAATATCTGGTGCAAGATTCGAACCCAGGTCTTTTATTCACTATGCCACACCACTACTTGAACTATATTTCAATAAACAAACCTTATCACATTGCATCCCTCTGTTAAAGGCTGCAGAAACCCCATTACACAGACCCACCCCACTCCACTGGACTCACCTGCCTCCCACTGGGCCCTTTGCGAAGTTCTGCTGGCCGAGCCCAAACAGCTACCCTCCGGCCTCTCCAGTCTGACCCAGAAGGACCACAGCCATAGCGCTCAGGGGACACTGAGGAAGGGAAAAGGTGGAGGCACTGGGCAGTGCGGTCCAGATGCCAAGGCTCCCCCACCCATCTGATCCCAGGGCCTGCCTGTGCCTCCCTCCAAGAAGGATCTGAGCTTCCCCATTCCCAGAATGATACCTGCCTTCTGCCCATCCCCTGTCCAACTGATCCCCGCCCCCCCCATCCTCAGGCCAGGCAGAGGGACATGATTCTGGGAGAGCAGGTATTGTCCTAGGAACAGACAGAGACTGCAGTATACCCCCCAGGGAATGGGGAAGATGGTCAGTGGTCTGGGATAATTGTGGAGAAAGAGAACAAGCAGGGCTCTGGGAACATGGGTCTGGTCTTGGTTATAGGATGAAGAACATGACATAGTCAGAGGTCCTGGGTCTAGACCCTGGCACTGCCCTTAACTTGCTGCAGACATCAGTCTCAGCTATGAAATGAGGAAATCACCTCAATGAGCTCTCAGACTCTTTAACCCCAAGTCCTAGAATTCCAGGACCTAGCTGGCCCACACCCTCTCTAAGAGATGTCTGATCTATGGGCTTTCCCCAGATTGTGTCTGTGCACCTCTCCTCCAAAAGGCAAAGCACCAGGGGCAGCTAGGTGGCGAAATGGGTAGACCACCGGCCCTGGATTCAGGAGGACCTGAGTTCAAATGCAGCTTTAGACACATAACACTTACTAGCTGAATGACCTTGGGCAAGTCACTTAACCCCACTGCCTAACCAAAAAAAAAAAAAAGATAGAACACCCCCTCCAATGCCAAGCCTCACTGTTCTTCTCCAAGAAGTATCTGTTTATCCCCTCCTCCCTTCTCATCTCTTTCTTCTGCTCCTGTCAGACCAGTAGCTCATCTCTCAGGGCCCATCCGTCACCTTCTCCACACAAAGCACTCAACTCCTAATCGCTGGCCAATATCTGCCCTCTGGAGACCATCTGTCCCTTTCTCAGTCAGCAGCTAGCTTCCTGTGGGACACTGGTCCTGCCCACCCCCTTCCCCTGGAGATACCCAACCAAACCTGATCTATGCCTTTATCATAGAGGGGGCCCAGCAGGCCCTGTTCCCATCCCTCCTCTGGTTCCTAACCGTCCCCTTCCCCTAGAGGGGCCCCAGCAGTCTCTCATCTCTTTTCTTGTTAGAGCCCTAATCATCCCTTTCCCCTAGAGAGGCCCCACCAGGCCCTGTTCCCCTCTCTGAACCCTATCTATCCCCCTCTCCCAGAAGGACCCCACCAGGCCCTGTTCCCCTCTCTCAGAGGGGCCCCACCAGGTCCTGTTCCCCTCCCCCAAAGGGGCCCCACCAGGCTCTGTTCCCCTCCCCCAGAGAGCCCCCACCAGGCCCTGATTCCCTCCCTGGGCCCCAGCCATCTCTTTCTCCTGGAGGTCCCAACATTCCCCAGCTCCAGGGCCAGCCCTGTCCTGCATACCTGGGCGGGCCCGCTTGAGCGAGAGCCTGGGCAGCAGATCTTGCCGGGCCAGCACCCGCAGCAGCTGCATCAGTGGCCCCAGGTGGGCCTCGTCACACTGGCCCCTCCTCTCCAGCTCCAGCAGAAGCTCCAGGCCAGAGCGGGCCGGAGGCCGGCCCAGGCCCCCCACTGGGGCCAGGCTGGGCTCCCCATCCTCGGGTGCTGGCAGAGCCTCGTCCAGCAGGAAGGAGAGCACGGACAGCTCCTGCTCAGCCAGCTGGGCGCCCACCACCTGGAACATGCGGTGCAGGGACTGCAGCCCGTAATAGTCTAGACACGCATCCTCCTCCCAGCAGGGGCTGCACGGCCCCCGGGGCCCCACCATCGGGGCAGGTTGGGGAGGGTGGTCTAGGGGAGACGAGGAGAGGAGATGCTGAAACAGAAAGGGGCGAGGGAGGGGGAGTCAGCATCCTAGGGCATCACCCCTTCCAGCCCCCGCCCCGGCGGCCCCGCCCCTCCCCACGGCGCTCCCCTCCACGGAGGGGAGATGGTACCTGCCCAGTTCCCCGAGGGGGGGGCTCTCAGTCAGCCCCTGCTCGGACGGGTGGCAGGGTCCGAACTCTGTTTAAATGGTCCCTCCCAAGTCCCAGGGTCTCCGTCCGAACTCTTCAGCCCCCCTCCCGCCCAGACCGAAGGCACAAGCCGGACGCTCCGAGCCCTCGCCCGCCCGGGGGGGAGGGGTGTCGCGTCCACAGGGGTACCTCCCTGGGCTGCAGCAGCTGGACTCTTTCTCGTACCTTCTCTGCAACTGCGCCTGCGCAGAGAGCGCCCCGCCCCGCCTCCTCCTACCGCGGCTGCTCACCCGCGCAGGTGCGGGCGCCCAGGCTGGCTCTGCGCAGACGCAACGAGTCTTCTCCCCGTGCACCTGCTCGTCCCCCGCCCCCTCCCACACCTGTCTGCGAGGGTCAGCTGAGCATGCGCATGCCGAGAGCGGGCGGGACAGGAGGTGGGTAAGGGGGAGAAGGACGCAGGCTAGGCTTCTCAACTTGTTCACCTGAGCTCACCTGAGGTCAAAGCCGGCCTGCCCAGCCTCGAGTCACTTCCCCCTCTCTGGGCCTCAGTTTTGTCACCTGTAAATTGAGGCTGATGCCACTTCCAGGGATGCAGTGCCTGGGGGCCCTGCCCCTCCTTGGGCCTCGGTGACCTTCCTCTAGGGTCGGCCTGGCCCATCCCTGAACGCCCCTTTTCCCTCCAAGTCCCTAAGAATCCTTGGATTTGGGAATAACAGCTCTGAGTTCAAATCCTACCTCGGCCGATTAACCTAAAACTCAGTTTACTCCTCTGTAAAATGGGGATAACAATAGCAGCCACGCCAGAGGGTGGTTGTAGTACTCGTAAAGTGCCGCATAAATGCCCCCCCCAGGGCATTCCTGTCGGAAAACCAAAGCTAATTGCCAGATTCAGCGCGGTAAAAAGGAGATGTTTGGTGGAATTAGACCCAAGAGCATCACTGCGCCCCGGGAGGACCTAGAGGTCCAGGAATCCCAAGGGGCTACGTCGCCCATGATATCAGGAGCACCCAAGTAGCACCCAAAGGGGTTATCTCCGGGTTTCCTTCCGACAATCCCCCGGAGGGAGGTGTTGTTATAAGCCCCACTTCCCAGAGGAGGAAACTGAGTCAGGGGCAGGTAAGGTGACTTAGCAAGGGTCTGAGGCAGGATTTGAACTCTGAGCCGCCAACTCAGTAGCAGTAAGCGAAAAACGGTCACGATCCACGCGATCTGGAGTTGGTTTTTAAAAGGAGACAAGTTGCGTAATAAACGAGACCCAAAATCAATCACAAACACCTTATTGGACAATAGTGCCTGGGAAGCCTAGCAGGTTTTATCCATCAATCAGCGATGATGAAGCGCCGGCTGTGTGCCTGACTGCGCTAAGCGCCGGGGACGCAGAGTGAGGTGGAAGAGCCCCTTCTCTCAGGGAAGCCGCCTCCCCCCACCCCACCAATGCCAGAAAGCCCAGCCTTCCCCTCCCTTCCCCCACCAGTCCCACCTGGGGCTGGCTAGCGCAGGGAGGGGGAGGGGGAGGGGGAGGTCCCCATACCTGGAGAGGCTCCGGATGTGGGGCTTGTGGCTTCTTGGGTGCAGCTGCCCGGGGCACAGGGAGGAGGGCTGTGGCCACTCCGGGAAGGTGGGAGGGAGGTCTCCTCTGTCCCCGCCCACCCTGACTCATCCCCCTTCCCAAAGGGAGGCAGGGGGCCCCTCGGCAGGGCAGACTCAAATTGGTCCCCGGCTCGGGCGTCAGTCACAGGGTGGGGCAGCTTGTCCCCAGCCTCCCCAAACACAAACTTCCTTCCTTTCAGGGGCGTGCCCCACCCCCAAATGGCTTCAACCAAAAGTCAATTACATAAGCATTTATTAAACGCTTACAGTGTACCAGGTAGTCTTTATGGGAAAAAGAGAGAAGCAAACTGAGCAAATCCAGAGTTGGGTGAATTAGGTCACCTTGTGACCCACAATACGGCCTTGCCCCCAGCCCTGGGCTTCTGCTGCTTCCCAAATGACTACTTAACGCTCCCTTTATGTCTGGGGTGGGGGGGTGGGGCTAAAGGGTAGGGAGGGCGCGCGGCGCGTAGACGCCAAGTTGAAAGGGACCTTAGGGGCGGTGGAGAAGTCTTTCCTGGGTCATATGGGCACTAAGAATGAAAGGCAAAATTCGAACCCAGGGCCTCCATCCCCAAGCCAAGGACGCTGATCCACTGTAGTAGCACAGGACCGGCCCCTTTTGGAAGGAGAGGTGTGAGAAGGGGGAGGGAAAGAGAGTTTTTCTTCTTTGACCCTCACAACAGCTCTGGGAGGTAGGTGCTTAACACCGAGGCAAACCACAGAAGTGATCGGGGCAGGGCCGCACAGCTCGAGTCTGGAATCCCTTAAGAACTCTGGCCTTCCTGGCTCCAAGCCCAGCGTTCTGGGAACCATGGCGCGGCCTAGCGGCCCTAAAAATAACCGGTCGCTTTTGCCTGTCCTGCGCCTGCGCCTGCGCCTGCGCCTGCGCCTCGAGCCTCCCCCTCAGTCCAGTCCTCAGAGAGGTTCGCGCCTGCGCCTCCTTGAGCCCCCTTTAGTCCCGCCCCTGCGCTCCTCGCCCCGCCCCCGGCGCCCATTGGATCCCAAGGCGCCCAATGGGAGGCGGCGATGGTGCGGGGTGCGCTCCGGGCCGTGGTGGCAGTGGCGATAACGGGAGCGGTGACGGCGGAAGGTCCGGTAAGGGGGGGCAGCGGGGGGAGGGGCCAGTGAGGTGGGGGTGAGAGAGACACCGAGAGAAGAGAGGCATTGAGGGAGAGACAGAGATGAGAGACACTGAGAGACTGGAGATACCAAGGGACAGACAGAGATGAGAGACATTGAGGGATCAGAGACACCGAGAGGCTAGAGATACTGAGGGAAAGACAGAGACAAGAGACACCGAGAGGCTAGAGATACTGAGGAAGAGACAAGAGACAGAGCCAAGCCCCCCTCAGCGCGGTCTCCCGTCTCCAACAGCTGTGTCCCGACCCCGACAGAGACCAGCGGAGACAGGGGAGAGCCCAGGCAAGGAGGGGCCCAGCGCTGGACCCCCTCACCCCACCCCCAGTTTAGGGGCTTAATGAACCACAGAGGCCACTAGGGGGTGCCATGGGGGGGCCCTGGGCACCTAAACCTCTGCCAGCCTCAGTTTCCTCACCCGTCCAGTGGGGATTGTGACAGCCCCTCCGTGCCAGGGTGGGGGTTGTGAGAGTCAGAAGAAGCGGGTGGTAGGAGCTGTGCCTGGCACATAGTAGGTGCCTAATGGGTACTGCTCTTACTGTCGAGAGCAGTACTGTTAGGGAAGCAGAGGCAGGGGTCCCGGGCGTGGACCCCGGGGGGCAGGTGTGGGGAGGGGGCGCTCCTGACTGGGCTCGCCTTGCTCCGCAGGCCATGGCAGAGGTGACAGCGGGCCCCGGTGCCCCACTCTGGCTGCAGCACCAGTACATCTGCTCCGCCTGCGGCCTGCTCTACGACACCCTGGAGGAGGTCTTCCTGCACCAGCAGCAGCACGCCCAGCCCAGCCCCGAGGAGCTCCGCCCGGCCAGCCCAGCCAGCGGCTCCCTGCCCCAGGATGGCCACTTCCAGTGCCTGGAGTGCTCCGAGCTCCTGCTGTCTCAGGAGGCCCTGCTGGCCCACCGGGACGCCCACACCCAGGACTCCGACCCTCCCGTCGGCCCCCTTCAGGGCCACGTCCAGTACCACTGTGGCGACTGCGAGGAGCTCTTCTTGTCCCCTGACCTGTGGCTGGCCCACTGCGAGGCCTGCCCCGCCCCCGAGGAGGCAGAGCCGCTGACCCCCTCGCCTGTGGCCACGATGGACCCCTACGAGTGCCCCGAGTGCGCGCAGCTGCTGGACACCCCTGAGGAGTTCTTGGAGCACCAAGGGACCCACTTTGCCTCCCTCGAGAAGGAGGAGGCTGACGGAGGAGAGGAGGAGGAAGGGTCCCGCCCAGAGGGGGCAGCAGCCGAGGACGAGGGAGCTGCCCACGTCCGCCAGTGTGGGGATGGCCAGGGCGCCTGGGGATCGGGGGAGGAGCTGCGGCGGCCCCGACGGGCAGCCCGCGCCCCAGCTGCTGCCCTCCATCACTGTTCCCAGTGTCAGCGTGGCTTTAGCTCTGCCAACCGTCTCCTGGCCCACGGCCGCGCCCACGTTGGGGGCACCCACGAGTGCCCCGCCTGCTCCAAAGTCTTCAAGAAAGCCACCTCCCTGGAGCAGCATCTCCGGCTGCACCGGGGCGAGGCACGCTACTTATGTGTGGACTGCGGCCGGGGCTTCGGGACAGAGCTCACGCTGGTTGCCCACCGCCGGGCCCACACGGCCAATCCCCTGCACCGCTGTCCCTGTGGCAAGACTTTCAGCAACATGACAAAATTTCTCTACCACCGGCGGACCCACGCGGGAAAGAGCGGGGCACCCCCGCCACCACCTCCTGCACCCCCACCACCCCCGCCCCCACTGCCACCCGCCGCCTTGTCTTGCCCACACTGCACCAAAGCCTTTTCCTCCGCAGCCCGGCTAGCCAGGCACCGGCGGGCCGTGCACTCCCCGCCTGAGCGGCGGCACCGCTGTGGGGTCTGCGGGAAAGGCTTTAAGAAGTTGGTCCACGTGCGCAACCATCTGCGCACGCACACAGGCGAGCGGCCCTTCCAGTGCCATGCCTGTGGGAAGACCTTCGCCTCGCTCGCCAACCTCAGCCGCCACCAGCTGACCCACACGGGGGCTCGTCCCTACCCTTGCCCTGACTGCGGTAAGCGATTCACCCAGAGCTCCAACCTGCAGCAGCATCGGCAGCTGCACGGCCGGTCTGCAGCCTTCTCCCGGGCCTCACGCCTCCAGGCACGTCTGGCCACGGTCCGGAGCCTGTACGGGAAGGGGGCGGCCGGGCAGCGGCGCCCCCGGCACGGCCACGTGGGGCGGGATGAGCCCAAACCCACCGCAGCCCCCCACCCGCCAGCCCCAGCCCCACAGCAGACCGTCATGTGCACAGAGCTGGGCGAGACCATTGCCATCATCGAGACTTCGCAGCCCCTTGCCCTGGTGGACACGTTGCAGCTGTGCCAGGTGGCACTGGGGGCTGGGGGGCTGCACCTGGGAGGGACAGGTGGAGCTGGGGGACTTCTACACCTGGACGCTGCTTTTGTGTGACAGGCTGAGACAAGGCAAGGCGGGGCTGGGTCCTTAATAAATGAGTTTGCATAGATGTCGCTGTGCTAATGAACTAGAAATTTGCCTTCTCCACATGATCACAGATTGAGGAGGAGAGAAGACTGTGCCACCCTCCTCTTTCATAGGTCAGGAAATCAAAGCTTCCAGAATCTAGTGACCTGTGGGAGCTAAACTGAGCCCCTCTTGTCTGCCTCAGGTCTTCAGCTTTTGGGGGACTGAGGCTGCTCACACCGCAGAGCTTGTTTCTCCATTACCGGAGGCCAGGTGGGCGTCCTTCAGCGTTATGGTGGTCATGGTCCCCAGCTGTCCTGGGAGATTTAGTTTCCGAGGCCCTTCCTGGGCACAGAAATCAAGTGAGTTAGGATACCAAAGAGCATCCGCAGTGACCCCACAGAGAACCTCAGCGCTAGCTCGCCTGGTCTACAAGTGGCTAAACCGTGCTCAATCAGCTCTTCCTCCTGGCCTGACTGCCCAGAGCAGCCCGTTCCCTGCTGGCCCCGTGCCCTCTCCCGGAGGAACATCCCCAGGTCGCTGGAAGTGGTATGATGTGGTTTGGACCCCCTTCTCCTCTCTGCTCATCTCTCTTGCACCCTGGGGTTTCCAGGAGCTTCAGGTGCCTAGTCCAAACAAGAACCTGAAATGTGAGTGCTCCCCACCTTGCCCTTCCTGGTGAGTGACCAGCCGGCCAATCCTGTGCCCTTCAGGCTACCAGCTCACAAGTGCAAAGGAGAATGAGGAACTGGGCCCTAAATCTGCATCTAGGGAGAGGGGGTGCTCCCAAGAGCGTCTGCCTTGGGAGAAGGCCCATGATGAAGTCCTGAGCTGACCAGCCCAATGGCAGGGGGAGGGCAGATGGCATTCCCATTTTCCAGAGAAGGAAATCATCTTCACATCTGGCAACTTGAGCAGGCCGCCCTTGTGAGGAGAACCACCGTTGACCGTCCCTTTCTGCTCTCCTCCCTTCAGCAGATGAGGAAACCTCACAGGGCAGAGCCACTCAGCCAAACCCAGGGGATCCACTGCACGTGGGCGGCTGAACAGACTGGTTCCAGCCCCCCTCCCAGAGGCACTCCCTTCAACAACGAGCACCCCTGCAGCAGTGTCCAAGGAACGCCACTCTATAGAGAAAACCCCAAAAAGTCACCCGTCAGTCCGTCAGTCACCACGCTTACCAAACACCTGCTACATGCCCAGTGCCGGGATTCAGAGAAAGGCAAATGGCCATCTCTGCCCCAAGCTGCTCAGTCACGAGGCAGACGGGCAAATGATGTCGTCAGAACCACACTTCTACTGGCTAAGTTGGGCGTAATGTAAGGCACCAGCCCTGTGGGAGGTCAGGGAATCTAGGGGTGCCAGGAGGCTGAGTGGGCCAGGCCTGGGCACGGCCAGTGAGAATGCCCAGTCTTGTGGAGGAATAGCAGCCAGGAGGGCACTGTCACTAGATGGAGACTGGGAAGGTTGGAAGGGGACAGCTTATGGAAGGCTTCATTTAAAAGCCCAACAGGGTTATTTTTGTGTTTGATCGTGGAGCCGACTGGACGGCTGGAGGGGAGAGGATGACTTCCGGAAGATCAGTCTGGCAGTGGTCGGGGGGGAGGCGATGAGGACCTGCACCAGGGACTCCTGGGTTGGGAGCCTGGTGCTGCCTTTTACCATGACAGAGAAGCAGGGGGCTGACACGGTCAGTTGGGGACACACTGAATTTAAGACGTCTAATAGGCAGTTGGAGACGCAAGGTTAGGAGAGGGGTTAAGGCTGGACAAATCTGAGAATCGTCTATAGAGATGACAGTTAAAACCTGGAAGGAAACACAGCAGACTATGCTGGGGAAAGAGGCCAGTCAGAGGAGAGCCAGGAATTTGAAAATGCCCAGAAGAGGGGCCCCCCAGCCAGAGGTTGCAGAGGGAAGGACAGAGGGAGAGGCCACCTCAGCCCTGCACTGGACAACTGAGGAGACAGACCAGAAAGGGGGCGGGGTGCCCCAACCAACCCAAGTAGGGAGTGGCACAGGCCCGGTCTGAGCCTGCTTCTCGAACTTTGAGCCCACTCAGGGCTTCCCACAGCCCTGTTCTGCCACCCTCGGGCCAGACCCTGCAGGTTCGGAGTCCAGCGTCACATGGGCCTTATGGTTCCTGCCCCGACCCCAACTCCCCCTCCCCCAGTACGTGTGCACCCCATGAACACTGGAGCCATCTTTTCCAGGCCACAACAATAGAGGAGGGTCTGATGTAGACGGAGCCTTGGTTTGCCACGGGGCAGTGAAAGGCTGATCCGGGACAAGAATCTAAGACTCGGCATGGGGCCACGTGTTCAAATCTCAGTGTGACTCAGGTCAGGTTACAGGAGTTCAGAAGGGATGACGGTGGGTGCTCTGGAATCCGGCCTGAATTTCCCCCCGTGACAGGCTTGACATGAAGCCTCCCAATGACAGAATGGCAGAAGGAGAAGGGACCCTGGCAGTCATGGAGGCTGTGGTGTCCAGCTCCAACAGGAAGGGGAGGGAGGCAGGAAAGCCTCCCTGCAGGCTGTGGGTGCCTTAGAAAACCACTCCGACCAAGTCTTAGCGCATTCTTATTTATTTTGTTAAATGTTTCCCGATTACATCTTCACCTGGTTCCAGCTGCTCGAGGAGCCCTGGAGTTCTTATACCTGAGGCCTCTGTGATCAGGGCCCAGCTACACCCAAATCACGAATCCTACATGAGAGGCTTCCCAGACAGATGGTCATCCAGCCTTTGCCTGAACACCACCAGAGGGAGAGGGAAGTCGCTACTCCTGATCGGCCATCCCAGCCACACTTCTCACGAGGGGAAACCAACCCCCTTCCTTCCAAGGTCACCCCCTTCACCTCTGGGCAGCTCTGTGAGGGGTCTGGCTGTGCTCTCTGGGGCCAAACCAGGCAAGTGTTACCCGCCCCACAAGACACCTACTGGCTGTGTGACTGGGCAAATTGCTTAGCCTCTGCTTACCTCAGTTCCTTCATCTGTAAAATGGGGATAATAACTGCATTGTTGAGAGGACCAAATGAGATCATATATATAAAAGTGTTTAGCACAATGCCTGGCACACAGTAGGCACTCTATGCGTGCTTACTCCCTTATTCCAACAATTAAGGATGACTTTTTGTTCTCCAGGTGAGAAATACGCCCAGGGCCTTCACTACAACACAACGTGGCAGGATCTCAAGGACCGCCACCAGATTTGGCGAGGGATTAGCTCACACTCCAGCCATGGTCCAACTAAGGCCAAGGACAATGGGACTCCCAAGCCCTTCCTCTGAGACCCCACGATCTTGTCAGCTCTTGTGGCCGGCGCGGGGCGCCAATGACGTCATCACACAAACACATCTAGCTGTTCCTCCTCTATCTTGTACTTCCCAGATACGTCACCTAACATTTCTTCTACCAAATGCGGCCCTTCATTGTACCCTGATCCAACAAGCTTGCTTCCCAAGCCTTCATCCAAATCACTGACAAAAACGCTGACCGCTTAATGTGGGCCTCAGTTTCCTCCTCTGTAAAATGGCAATAAACACATGCCCACAAGCTACCTCCCCGAGTATTTATTTGTGGGAATAAATGTTTTCCACCCTAGGTCAGCACTACAAGAGGAGGCCCAGCCTGGACGGGACACGAGGAAATGTGGGGGCCAAGGCTCCATTCCCCAACAGGGAGAGGAGGCCCAGGAGGAAAGGGCCTGCCCAGGATCCCAGGCAGAGCCAGCACGAGGCTCAGGCCCACACCACCCTCCCCAGCTTGCCCAAGGGACACCAGGGCAGAGGCAGCTCCTTCTCATGCCAATAATTTATTGAACGGAAGTTCTGTACACAGGCAAACCCTACCGTGGGAACGAAGACATCAGGACCCCCGGCCCCCCGCCCTGTCCCGGGGGGCCGGGGGGGGGCAGCAGGGAGGGCAGATGGGACATAACTGGGGCTGGAGGGATGGGCGGCGCGAATCATTGCAACATTTTCTTTAAGAAAAAATTATAACAATCTATTTACACCCGGGGGGAAAAAGAGGGGAGGGCTGAGGAAGAAAGAGGGGCCTGAGACAGGGTCTGGTCCTATTTACAAGGGACAAATGGAGGGTGGCAGGGACAGGACCAAGGCAGGGGTAAGGGGGGAATGCTCAAACCCCTGTGGCCAAGCCCAAAGAGCCTCTTCCTTCTCTCTCCACCACCCCCCAACACCCAGTTAAAATCCTCTGTTAAAAAGCTAGCTCGGCCAGCCAGCTCAGTGCAGGGGGCTAAAGGGGTACCCCCTCCTCCATGTCCCCTACCAGGCTCTTGCCTCTGTGAGGTAGGAGGGGCCTGGGTCTCGGCTGTCTTCTCCCCTTTCCTCGCCCCCCATCTAAAAACAGCCCAGCCAGGGATGGGGAGAAGGCAGGCTCGAGGACCCAGGCCTCCACCCCAGGCTTCCAGGATGGAAGGTGGGAGGGGCGTCCTGGAGGCCCTCAGGAGGAGTTGGTTACAGACGTGGAAGGCTCCTGTCCTGGAAGCTCCTGGTTCTCCCCTGAAACCAAGGCAACACAGGGAAGTGTCAACTCCAGGCCCTCCCACTGACCTGCCGCCGCCCAGAGGCCTCCTGGTTGTCCCCCAACTCACCACGTGAGGACGACGAGGCGGAAGCTGCAGGGCTCCTCAGGTGGGGAGGGATAAGGATGCCATTGAGATTCGGCTGGATGGAGAGTTCTGGGGGGCGGGGGAAGGCAGATGAGTGAGCGTCCGTACTCCCCAGCCCAGCCTCGGTTCACCTCCTGCCTGTCTGCCCCCACCCTGGCTGACTTCTACCTCTCATCTCTCCCCTTCCCTGGCTCCATTCCCACCCCCAAGCCCCCTCTCCCCAACTCACCACCAGGGCTAAAGTTGAAGAGGGGGGGCAGCTGCCGGCTGTTGGGGAGCTGGGCCCCGGGGCTGCGCAGGTCATCGAAGAAGCTATGGGCGCAGGCCTCCAAGGGGGACAGCCTCGTGGCCGGGGTGTACTCCAGCAGGTGGGAGCACAGTGCGATAGCCTCTGGCGGTGTCCGTGCCTTAAAGACCTGACACACAGGAGGACACAGAGGGCCCGGGGCAGCCGTGAGCCTCCTCCCGCCGTGGGCCGGGGTCCTAGGGCCCAGAGCCACTACTTCCCCCCCCCCCAAAACAAACTATGGCCAAACCTTTGTCCATGGATGGGCCTTGATCTGGGGGAACTTAAACTCAGTGTAATTTGGGTTCATCTCCCGATTTGCTCCCGTGTGGGCGTCCCCAACACCTGCAGGGAACGCAGTGACCTTTGTCGAAGGGCTCAGACTCGCCCTCGGTGCCACTCACTCTCACAGCTCACAGACTCCTCCATGCTCACCTTGATAATTTCTACCAGTTGGTCCACCCCACTGTCCCCAGGAAAGATGGGCTGGCCGAGGAGGAGCTCAGCTAGGACGCAGCCAGCCGACCACACATCTGCCAACAGAAAGCCCATCAGAAGGCAAAGGAGTACGTTCCGCCTCCCGGGCATCTGTGGCCTCCTCTCTGGACGGCTCCATCACGGAGGAGCTGCCTGAGCCGACCACAAGCCATCGGGGCCGGACGACCTTGCCATCATCTGGAGGCCAGGCACACAAATGGAAGTCTGGTCTGGTGGCACCAGAAACCTGGTTCTGCCCCAGCCCCATGCCCACGGTCTGGCCCTGACCCCTGAGTGGCTGGAGCTCCAGCCCACCACGGCCGCCAACCATCCCCGTCAATCCTCCCTGACCCCACCCCAGACCAAAAACCAGGTGAGACAAAGAGAACAAGGCAGCCTCTGGCCCACCATGACCCCAGCCTCCTGGCGGCTCTGACCGATGGACGAAGTGTAGTCGGTAGCTCCGAAGATGAGCTCGGGGGCCCGGTAGTACCTCGAGCAGATGTAGGAGACGTTGGGCTCTCCCCGGACCAGCTGCTTAGCACTGTCAGACAATGTGCAGGAGGGAGGAAATGAAGGCTGCTGAGGTCCCGGCACCCCTCCCCACACCGGCTAGCCCCAGGCCCCAGCTCTGCCCACCTGCCAAAGTCACAGAGCTTGAGGACAGCAGTGTCTGGGTCCACCAGGAGGTTCTGGGGCTTGATGTCTCTATGGCACACGCCCTGTGAGTGGATGTAGGCCAAGCTCCGAAAAAGCTGGTACATGTACACCTGGGGGCAAGGGACACTGTGGTCAGCCTTAGGGCAAGACACCCCCCACCAGAGCATTAGGGGAGGCAGGGCTACCACAATATCGCTGTCCCAGAAAGGGTCAAGGGAGTCTTCCAAGCTAGATGCCTTCATGGATTGCAAGGTCCAACCACTAAGGGCTCTTCTGCTTGGCCCCAGAGGGTCTCCATGTAATGTAACCTGGTGCTCCAAAAGACCAGGTAGTGAGCCCCCGACTGCTGGAGGTCCTCCAGCAGAGGCTGCATATTCGGTCACTTGTTGAGAACAAGGTGGAGGTAGAGGGGACTCGGGTCCTGGCTGGGCCACATGCCTTGTGCAGTCCCTGCCAGCCCTAAGAGTCTGAGCTAAGGCTCAGTGACTGAGAACTCCCAGTCCCAAGCAGCACGCAGGAGCAAGTCCACAGAATCAGACAGGAGAGCCAGGAGGGCCTGGGGGCTCCTGTCGTCTAAGGCCCCTGACTATGCAGGGGGTCCCAAGAGGGCAAAGACCCTGCCCGCAGTGAGTCACAAAGTGGGCCATGGCAGAAGTGGGACACAGTGCCCTATGCCCGTCTGTTCCCTCAAGCCCAGACATGGCTCAGGGGCCACAGTTCTTGACCAGGAGCACACACAGAGGAAGGCAGCCAAGACCAGAAACTGCCCCATGAAGATCCACTGCTGAGCCTGGAAGCATGGGGGGGAAGACCCTGGGCTGGTCCTTAAGACACAGCCAATAGCACTGGCATGTCAGGCCCACA